CTCTTGGCCCCTGCTGTACTCGCTTCAATACAGGCTCTTGGCGACAAGGTTTCAGGGTAGGCGTGGTCCAGATGAGCTGTAATCGAAACTCCTCAAGGCGGCTTATATAGGTGAAGGGTGAGGGGGATTGCCATAACGCTTATTTAGGGAGATGGGGGTCTAGACGATAGCTCAAATGATTGCGGGATGGGGGATTCCAAGCTTTCTGGGAAATCGGGTCTTATAGTAGATTAAGTAAAAGGCTGAGGATTTACAGGCCTCAGAACTTATAAGTTTGGGGTCTGAGGGGCCGTTGATCCTGAGGCCTTTCGTGCACTATTCCAAACGCTAGCGATCCAATTTCCTGCCAAATCGCACGGACTTTAAATCGCTAGCGATCTCAGCAACTAAGTGCCAGGAAATACAATATACAGGGAACCCTGGTGGTGCAAGATTTGCTTCAGTGACAGAAGGCTTGAAAGAACTGTGAGAAACCGAACGCCCCAGAGCTCTACATCAGACTGGGCATCCAGCCCAAGCTCTGGAGGGTCCACTTTTTCCTGGCCAAGTGCCCTGATAATTGCGGCTTAGCGGTCGAAAGCATGATTTCGAGACGTTAGTGATTTCAGCACCAGCATCCGAAAAGTCTTAGGCGACGTAGCGACTGAAACATCAAACATCTATCTTTGTCTAAGCCGGGTGGAACTTCACGAATGTCTCTTCTCATGATCACTGCAATAATCTTGCATCCACACTGCTCTCGGGGGCGAGGCCCGAACAGAGCATGGAATCCCATATGAGCTATAATCATAACTCCTGGTATCCCCCTTAACAACCCCTATAATTAATACCCCCCCCATATAGTCCCCTATAGAACCCTCTTTAAGAAGTTTAGACTATAGCTCATGTGAACCTGCTCTCTGCTGCAATGATGTGGAACCGAGAAGGCGGTGCTCGAAATCGACAGCCTCAAAACTTCCATCCCAGTATGCGTAAGGTGAGGGATGTTGGTATCCAAACATTTTGGTGTTAAGCACCCTACACCTTAAACCCAATACCCTACGCTCTAAAACCCAAAATCCCGAGCCCTAAACCTGCAACATCCCTCAACTGCAAACCCTAAACCCTAAATCCTAAACCCTACATCCTAAACCCTCAACCCTAAATCCTAAACCCTAAATCCCAAACCCTAAACCCTAAAACCCCTCCAGGCAAAGATGCCGGATGCCGCTTCTGGAAGAGGCCAGGGATGAACTTCCGAGCATCGCCTTACGGCTTCAAGGGGTTTAGGGGTTCAGGGGGATAATGGAAAAGAAAATGGAAACTATAGGGATTATAGGGTTTATAATAGGGGTTATATGGGGGTAATATTGGGGTTATATAGGGATAATGGAAAAGAAAATGGATACTACTGTTATGGGTTTAGGGTTTAGGGGTTTAGGGTTTAGGGTTTAGGTTGGGTACTGCCCCCCCCCCCAGTAACAGTCTATATTAGGGGTCCTATTAAGGGCTCTATATATATATATACCCATATTTTAAATATTATCCAACTGTTACTGAGGGGGGGGAGTACCCAAGTTTAGGGATTTAGGGTTTGGGGTTTAGGAATAGGGGCTTAGGGATAAGGCTTTTTGATGTAAGGTGTTTGAGATTCAGGATTGAGGTTTTCGTGTTCAGCATTTAGGGTTTAGGGTTCAGGATTCAAGGTTTAGGATTTAGGGTTTTAAAGTTGTTGGATTAAGTGTTTCTTTGGATAGGGCTTCGGTATGATGACTCCGATTTGGACTCCAACAATGGAGAGTCAAAGGGAAAACACCATGGAAAATTACATAGAAACTGGAAGGATATGGGAATTCATGCGAAGCGTCCATGTACCCAAGAATTGGGTGCTTGGAATATGGAGAAAGTAGTACAGGTTTTGAGGAAGTCTGTCATGATTGAGTACTTGGACTGTTCAGGGCTTAAGGGCTTCGGGCAGTTAAGGGTTAGAGTTTACGGGTCTTTGGATTTTGTACTTTGAATCTTCGGGGCCGAGCTGGCTCCTAATCTACTTTCAGTTATACTGGGGCATGTGTGATGAGAGTGAGCTGCCAGGGGGTTTGCCTGGAGCGCATGCATCCGATTTGGCCTAGCAGTGGACGCGCTGCATATGTGCTCAGGGTTTGGACTACCGTGACGGAGTGGTGACGGCTGGTTTTTTTTGGGGATGTCAAGCTTCGAACCAAAGCATTAATAAGGTCTCCTCAAGCATGCTGATGCATATATCCTTGTGACTTTTGTGCATCCGACGCACATGGCCCCTGGACCGTGGAAACTCTCAAACAACAATTCAACGGGGGGGCCTCACCTCGAAACCGTAATCCTCGAACCCCTAAACCCTAAACCTGAAACCCTAAACCCCAAACCCCAAACCTTGAACCCCAAACCTCGAACCCCAAACCCTGAAGCTTGACCCGAAACCCTAAACCTTAGAATCACAGAAGACCCGCAATTAACACAAAGGCGCTAGGAATGTGAAACCATAATATTGGTAATTCTCCCTTAACCCTAAATGCTACTAATTTTGGTAAATATTTGGTAGTTTCCCTAAATGAGGGGACCCCAATATAGACCCCAAAATACTATAGTCCTTACTATCGGGACCCTCAAAATGGTACCCCTAAATCTGGGAAACCCCCCATTTAGGCCCCCATATTAACACAAAGGCGCCGGGGGCATGGATCACCAACAGCGAGCCCATTGAGGGAGCTGTGAAGTCTTCACCAAAGTCGGGAAACTCTTCGAGCTCCTGGACCTGGGTGTTTAGGGTTTAGAGTTGTAGGGGTTAGGGTTTAGGGTTTAAGGCTTAGGGTTTAGGGTTCAGGGTTTAGGGCTTAGTGTTGAGTTTAGGGTTTAGGGTTTGAGGTTTAGGGTATTCTTGTGGTCTAAGTTTCAAGGCTTAGAGCTTAAGGCTTAGAATTTGAAGCCTGGTTCAAGGTTTAAGGTTCTGGGTGAAATGTTTGGGTCTTCATTAGGATTTATGATTAGCCCTGAGCTCTAGAGCTCTAGTACCAGGATGTAGTGGGGGAAATATGTGTTGTCAAGGCAATGTGAGTACTGTCGTGGAACAGGAGTTCTCCATCCCAAAACTAACGTGACGTGGAAGCCCAGAAGGAACCCCTTTTTCATGACTATATACTATCTTCTCAAAACTTGGTTATACAGGGTTCGCGGAGGGTACCCTGCAGCCACGTCTTGCCAATCTTTAGAATGACACACCTTTCTCGAGGAAACCGACATAAACCGACACGCAACCTAAGGGCTTTATGGGGAGACTCAACTGCCTGGCCTCAAAAGTGGGTCAAATAATAGCCCAAAACCCCTCAAACACCCCAAAAGGCCAGATTTTACATCCTGTTAAGGTTCAGGTATACCCCAGAACAGCCCTAAACCCTAAACCCTAAACCTTAAACCCTAAACCCTAGACCAGCTTAAGACCCAACTTCTTCTTCTGCACGTTGGGCGCTCAAACAAACTGGAGAGGTGGCGATACTCAGGCGACAAAAGGCGATGCTTGGGCTACAGGATTAGAAGCTGTAAGATATTAGGCAGAAGCTGATGCTAATTATTCCCCTAAAGGTCCAAGGACCCAAATAATAGGGTTTTAGGGGCGAAATACTTTAGTGTTCATGATATTTGGGCCCTAAAACCCTATTATTTGGGTCCTTGGACCCTTAGAGTTCTAATCAACTAACTGGATCCCGCGGCGGTTTACGGCTTGGTGTCTAGGGTTTTGTAGAGCGCAATCTCAACTGGAACTCTGACACTGGCGGGCTGGGAATGTATACCTGCTGCCCAAATTCATGCTAAATACCCTGCACGCGAGACCTTGCGCTTGTAATGCAGGGGCCATAAAATTAGAAAATGGTGTTGGGGCATAACCTGCTATGGCGGCATCAGGATATAGTGTTGGTACATATTCAGCCTTCGACAGTACTTGCCTTGACGACACGAAGGCTAGAGGGCTTTCTATATGCCACCAACCACCATCAGCTTGAGGGGCGTTTTAAAACCACCAAAAATATGATGATTGAAACAACAGAAACCGGCAAATCAAGGAAACCCTGCGCTAGGGACAACGCGTTGGGGAGCTTGTTCAGCTGAACGCTTTTGCCTCATGCATGGGCATGCAGGATAAGGAACCCTGGACCCTAAACCATAGGTCCCCTGGAAATCTACCTGAGTTTAATTTAAGGGCCTTAAGCTGGAAACCCACATGAGACGTTCGAAGACTTGGGACAGCTGAATCCTTTAAGGGCACACATGGTTTAGAGTTCAAAGTTTCGATAAACAAAGGTGCCGTCACAGGGCATATAGTGGTTATATGTGGTCATATCAAGAATCACCCTAAACTCTCAAAACCTGAGCCAAAACCCTTAGTCCTAAACCAAACGATGCAGGAACTCTTAGCAGGTGGCTATAGGCGCTATGAGCTCAGACTGTACTCTAGGAGCGTTATGATGTAGGGAAGAAACATGCTGACTTCCCCAGCCCACGAAGTTCTTCGGGCTTTGATGTGTGGGAGCCATAGAGTAAGATATCTCGAAGTCAGCGCTTATCAGGTAAAGGGTTTAAACCCTACACCCTAAAACCCTAAACCCTAAACTAGGGTTAAGTTTAGGGCTCTTTTTGGGCTGCTGCTCTGAGGCTCTGACTGCTGCTTGGCAAGGACCGAGCTACATCTACTGCACCCCTTGGGGCAATATTAGGGTTCAGGGTTATCCTGGGCTTATATGGGGGTAATGGAAAAGAAAATGGAAACTACCATAGTGGGTGATATAGGTTTTACTGCCAGCCTCAGCGAGTAGAATTCAATTGCAATGCGGCCCACTTGTGAGACAACTCTTCAACATAAACCCCGCGCCTGAACCCTCATGTAAACCCCTGATTCATAGCCCCCCTCCTGTTATGGGCCTTGATATGAGGATCCCTGTTATTATCCCCATTAAAGGAAGGGGATTTATGAATTAGGGGTCTACATCAAACCCTAAACCGAGTGTCTCATCAAAGACCCATGCACAAGACCCTGAATCCCATGAGGCTTGTATCTCCGAATCCTCATCTTTGGGCTATGACACCTGAAGCCCATGTCCCTAATAGGGTTTAGGGCTTGGGGTCCCTAATAGGGGTTTGGGTTTAGGGTCTTCTACTCTCTCTGGGCTCTATATGGGCTTAGAGTTTAGGTTTGAGGATGTCAGAAAAAGGGGGGGTGACAGAGCCGAGAGACATGTACAAGAAGGTTATGTAGGGGGCATAAGGCTGCCTGTTGTGATGCTTATATAAGAATTGTTTTGAAACACCTCTGTCCCGCAGACCCTAGGCAAAATGTTGAGGCCATGCAGGTAAAATGAGCAGGCGTCAGCTTTCATTTCTATTTGGTCCAGATCTCTGCAGATTGATTAACGGTGTCAATTGCGGAACGGATTGCCAGAATGAGTCTCAACAAGAGACCCCCAGAAACATCTGGCGACTTCATATGCCAAACATCCCAAAAGCAGAGCAACTATAAAGCTGCTCCAGGTTTGAATCTGAGAAGATTTGTTGAAACTCCCAGACCCGACGCAGACCATCAAGTTTTCGCTGACCAACGCTCTCATTAAGGTCAATTACCACTACGGATGCTACAGGCAATAATTAGAAAACAGATTGAACAACATACAAATTATGCTACGGGCGCTTTAGATATTATGATGTTACTACAATTACTTAATTAACATTAAGAACAATAATTGCGAATAATGCACAGATACCAATACACTGATTAAAAAACCTGAGCAAAAATAAAACACGGAAAACATTGACAATGACGCAGACTTTTGCAGTGTTCCACCATCCTTTCTGCGCCTAGCTGCGTAGCCAGTGGATGGAAGCTGGGTTTAGATCCTGGGCAGCGGAAGCACTCTGATGGTCTCGTGTGTAGGGTTTAGTTAAAGCTTGGATACAGCGGTAATTTTTGCCAAAGTATAACCATGTTCGTATTTGCGTTGCACGTACACTTGTCCGCAGCTTATAATTATATAGCCTGAACTAACCCATACCCTCTACACGGTCCGGTACACCAAAAGCGGACCATAATCTGACACCCTATTTGGGTTGGCTCTTTCGGGGTATTGCTCTGGAGTTCGTCTTCTAGGCAAGTGCATGGACTATCCTTGGGCTCCTCGTAAACGAATCCCGCGCATTTGGCATCTCCTTCGGGACTCCTGATTTTTGGCCCTTTCCATCAAGCTGCATGTTGGGATTTGGGGTACCAAGATGGACTATTAAACCCTAAGCCCCAAACCCTTAAGCCCTAAATCCCATAAAACCCTGAAGCCCTGAACCCTAGAATGCTAAATCAAATCCTAAACCCCTAAACCCCAGACCTACATTATCAAACTAAGAAGGCATTTTAAGTATGCAGCCTGGGGCTTGCGACCTGCGGGTCCCACGTAAACCTTACAACCTGAACCCTGGGGCTACCAGGACTTTTCCTGTACCCTTTGAAAGGGGACATATGGTCCCTATTTAGGGTACCCAAAGGGTCCAAGTACCCAATAATTAGGTACTTGGGTTTTTGAGTTATAGTAACTGTAGTACATGTTTTGGGTAAGTATATAACTATTTGGTACTTGGACCCTTAGGGGTATTTAGAGGGTAGATGAAGGGTCTAGGTATGGAGCTCCGTGATGTAGTATCTTTAGGTTAGGGTTTGGGGTTTAGGTCCGGTACTGCCCCCCCTCAGTAACAGTTGGATTATAAATGTAATATAATTACATATAGGCCTTAATAGGACCCGTAATATGGACTGTTACTGGGTGGGGGCAATACCCAAGGTTAAGGGTATCTTTGGGTTTAGGCTCGAGATGCTTTGACGCCCAACGACACCCCCGTACCAACCCTTTGTGTGGCAAAGCTTTGAACGGAGTTTTTCCTAGCAATCACACAGCCCAACTCAGCCCTCCAGAGCGTGTCTAAACAAAAAGCGTAAACCGTTGGTCCCTCTCGTTCCACAGAGACACCCCCCCCGCCGCAAAAAAACAACAACGAATCAATACCGTTCCTATTCAAAGGCCCTTCCCTGCTCACTCTGGGCCCTTCCGCTCAGAATGCCAAGAAAGGCCTTTCCCGAAGTCTTCAGCATACCATACCCCGTAAGCCCCAAACAGTAAACCCTGAAGTCCCAAGTGTCCAGTATCTAGGGCTCATCCAGGATGAACCTTCTTGTGTATGTAGGGCTGTATGCTACGTCAAAATAGGTTGAGGGTCACATGGGCTGGACAGGTAAGAACCCCTGATCCACGGCACTACCTTTAACTTTTAATCCTCAGCCCAGCACCCCAAACCCCTGATCTAATCTGGATTGCTGTTAAGAAGCTTAATTTAAGTTACCATAATGTGCATTTACAATGAGTACTAGGGTTTCTCCTATATAATAACTTGAACTTAGTTCCTTAATAGCAACCCAGCAATTTGCCTATGTAGTCTAAACTCTGACAGTCCGTAGCTAACTTGCGAGTGGCATTGGCGTGGCTCACGACGCCATTCACCAGCTTCACGATGGGCAAGGAAAAGGGGCCGACCTCAAAGCACTTCACAAGCAATCCTCAGAGAGGATTCTATATTCATGCATCGACCTCAGGGCACCCATATAGGGTGCTGTGCTCTGAGGCTCTGTGTATTGTAGGTTGACCGCAGATGGATGGATAGATAGATAGATAGATATACAC